ATTTCTGAGACATAATTTATGCGAAATCCTACCTTTTCTGTACTGAATTATCAGGCAAATACATGTATATGGAAAACCGCGTAAGTCATCGGGCAATATTGTGTATTTTCCAATTATATCGCAACTTATATATAATTGATTCCAAAAAGTGTGCATTCTGTTAAAATAACTGTAAAGATAGGCATATTCCTTAGATCGCTGTGTAAAAATATATACACTATAGTGTAATTACATGCATCCTTTCAAAATCGACGCATATATTTGTTTTGTTAAGACATAAATACGCATCTTAACCAAATCCCTTTCCAAATAACTAATAAAGATATATCATTTTAAACGAGTATAAAACCCGTAAATATCATTTAGTTTGTAGCTGGAAACGTTGATATGGGTCTAACAACAACACTGACGGGTACATAGAACGTAGAGAACACAACATAATTGTGAAAGCACAATCAAGATTAATATGAAATGGATTTCCATTGGGATATAAAATTATTCTGGTGGATTGTTTTCACCGTCTTAAACCCGTTCATATGCGAGAGGAAAATTGTAAATGGGAAGTGGAGCTTGAATTTGTGTTGTCTGAAAAGGGTGCAAATATTTGTGTACTGTGCTGTGGGAGTTTTACATATTGTTTTTGACGTTTTCTGTTGCAAGATAACAAAAACTGTTTGTAGTTGTTTGCAAGCACACATCAAACGAATATTAAATTTGCGTTCTTATTTTTATCTTTATGGGAGTCTTAAAGAGCTTTCGGCGTATTCTAGCTTAGTGTATGAATAACAGAGCATAATTCGCATTGTTATTTAGGCTTATGTACGAAAAATAAATACTTTAATTATACGGTTTAAAGTGAAATATCTCACATAATTACATAATAATGAAATATTTGTACATTATCGGGTGGGAGTTGCAACGTCAGAAGCGTAACAGGTAAACGAAGAGAGCTCGCCAATTTCATGCAGAGGGAAAGGATTAGTGTACTTTGTGTACAGAAAACTCATTGGAAGAGTAATAAGTCTAGAGATCTTGGAAATGGATGCACATTATAATATAGTACTTCGAACAGTCGTCAAAACACAAATGGAGAAAATATTATTAAACCTACTGAGCCTGATGGATTAACGAACAACCAAATTGATCATGTGATCATAGATACTAGACACTTCTCCAACCTTATGGATGTCCGCAACTTTTGAGGCGCCAATATATTAATTCAGAATATTTTCTAGTTGGCACAAGAACTTGGGCTAGAATCTGAAATGCGAAGAAGCAGAGAAGTAGCAAAACTAGGCGCCTTAATATTGTACTCCTCAAAAATCCGTAAATGGTAGAAAGGTTTCAAAACTATATTGAAACTAAATAGATAACTAAAGATAATCTAACAATTAGTGAACAATGGGAAATGTGTAAAAATTGTATTAAAGACGCAGCAAATAACATTCTAGGGCCGCAAAGACCACCACCAGGCAATGAGTGGTTCGATGCTGAGTGCGAGGACATTACAAGAAGAAAGAACAATGCATATAAACTGATGCAGCAAAGAAGAACCTGAGAAGAAGAACGAAAATATAAAGATCTTAGAAGTACACCCCTCGAAGAACAAAGTGAACTTATGAAAATAGAATATTGGAAGAACTTGAGGCAAGGCGGTCACAGATGCCCAAATAGACAACAGAGGAAACATTTTTATTCAAATCCCAAATTTTGGCATATGCAGATGATGTTGACCTAGTTGCCCGCACATCACGCAAGCTAAAAGAAATGTATACCACCTTGTCAAATGCCTGAAAAAAATATGGGCCTGCAAGTAAATCAGGAGGAAACTAAATAATGGCATCAACACATAACAATAGAGCCAGAAACATCAGCCACCATTTCATGATTGATAACTCTACCTTTGAAGTGGTGGACAAATTTACATACTTAGGCTCCCTTATTACCAAGGAAAACGTCATGATGGAAGAAATCAAGCGAAGAATAATCTTAGCAAACAAATGCCATTTTGGATTGAGTAGACATATGAGAAGCAGAAACTTAAGCCAAAAAACAAAAATATTCATGTACAAAACCCTTATACAACCAGTGTTGACATAAGGATCAAAGACATGGACAATTTCCAAGGCAGGTGAAAACTTTCTGCTTATATTTGAACGAAGGATACTAAGAAGAATATTCGGTGGCATCTGTGAAAATAGTGTTTGCAGAAGGAGGTAAATTTACGAGATATATCACAGATATAAACATATATTTGGTGGTAAAGACGTAGTATCTCTTATAAAAATAGATAGACCAAGATGGGCAGGACATCTCTCAAGATCACAGCAGAATAACCCTCCTAGAAGAATCTTTATTTCACAACCTGTGAGAATTAGAAGTAAGGTTGGGCCAAAACTCAGACGGAGGTATGGTGTAGATGAACATGGTAGAAAAATAGGCGTGGCAAACCGGCAACAGTTGGCAATGGATAGAACTGACTGGCGTAATAGACTTGGGAAGGTAAAGGCTCTTTTATAGGGCTGTAGCGCCTATGGTGATGATGATTATTTTCAACAAGTAGAAGAAGTATCTAGTAAGGTTAACCATAATAAGTAATATAATAATGAGTATCCAACTATATACAGACAACACCCATGTAAATATCATAGGTGCCTATGCCCCACAGGTACAGTGTGAAGAACATAAAATGGAAGACTTTTGGAGGACCCTCGATTGCGGTATGCTTAAAATAATGCCTGTAGATAAACAGGTTTCTTTAAAATAGTGTGATTAACTTTGCAGTGGCATAGGATTTGGCTGTTACTAATACGTTCTTTATGAGAACTGATAAAAACGAGTATGGTATTACTATAGTGAAGTGTATGACTTATAGTAGCAGGAAAGGGAAAAGTCAGATATATTTTGAACTGTGTCAAAGAAGTCAGCTAAAAGAAGTTACCAACCGTAAAGTGGTAAAGGGTGAGTGTGTAGCTAGTCAACACCGACCGTTAATAGTGGATACGGAGATAAAAATAAGGTGAAAAGAATAGCAAGTAGGACATCAGAAAGTGAAGTGGTAGAAGTTAAAGGGTAAGGATGTGAAAAGAGTCTTTAAAGTAGAGTGCTGAAAGATTTGGAAAGCCAACAATAAAGTTGTGGTGCAAATGGAAGAAGAAGTGCTAGGAAAAAATCTGATAGAGGGCCTCCTTAAAAAAACCTTGGTGGTAAAACTATGAGGTACTATAGAAGGTTCGAGCTAATAAAGAGGCTAGAAAGAGATAGGACAGGAAGATAGTGATATATAGAGTGTAGCAAGGAGGAAAGCAAAGCGCGTTGTTGCGACTGATAAGGAAAGATCGTCTGTGCAGTTATATGAAGAGTTGGAAATAGCCGAGGGTTGCAAAGATTATACGGCATTGCTAAAGCAAGGGACAAGTCATCAAAGAAGACTTAACCGGCAGCAAATTAAGGGTGCGGATATAAGAGTGTTAAGAACCGATATTGAAAAAAGCAAAAACAGAAGACTACTTTAGAAAGCTAATAAATAAAGAACTCCAACGGAAATACAGATGATACGGGATCTTAAAAAGAAGTAATACAGGGGATAAAAAGAGATGAACTTATTAAGGCGTTAAAGAGGATGAAGAATGGTAGGGCAGTAGGACGTGATTTAATACCTGTGGAAGTTTGTAAGGCACTAGGAAGGGACGCGATTAATATTTTGTGACAAATGATGAGTAGAATATATGAGGAAGAAAGGATGCCCAATGCATGGAGAGAGAGTGTGATGGTATCATCGTATAAAGGTAAAAGAGACATTCAGGACTGTAATACCTGTAGACAAATAAAGTTAATGTCACGGACAATAATAATTTAAAGAAAACTGTAACGCAAAGCTTAAGCGGAGAGACATGAATAGAAGAACAGCAGTTTGAGTTTATACCAGAAAAAAATAGAGCTACATTTGATATTTACAGATCTTAAAAATACGTACGACTTAGTTCCTAGGTAAAAACTATATAGAAGCTATATAGAAGCTATAAAGCTTTGGAGATGTATGTCTGGTAAATAAGAACTGCTGGCATATTAACCAAAAGTTTTCTGATGACGGTTGGCTTGCATCAAGGCTCTTCTTTGAGCCCTCACATGTTTTATCTTGTTATAGATGTACTGACAAAGAAAGTAAGGAAAGAAGCTCTTTGGTCTTTGCTGATAATATCGTGTTAGTAGAGGAGAGCAAAGAAATTTTGCAGAAGTTGAAGTATTGAAGAAGGGCCAGTAAAGAGGGAGGACTTACGTTTAGCAGGTCTAAAACAGAGTATATGTGGTTGACTTGTAGCGAAATGGTTGAACACATAGACTTTCTTGGAGAAAAACTAGGAGGAGTAGGAGAATTTAAATATCTAGGCTCATACATAACGAAAAAAAGGACACAAGATCAAGAAATTGCCTACAGGATACAGGACGGTTAGTTTAACTGAAAGCGAATGAGCGAGATTCTTTGTGAAAAATCAGGGTAGGGCAGAAAGAAAAGTTATACAAGAGTGTGGTAAGACCTATCGTACGAAAACAAAAAGTATATATTTTTAAACAGGTGTACTCTGTAAGAATATGATAGTTGACACAGAACTATAATATTAATAGGTCATTAATATGATTTTTATATTTGTATGAGTATTTTTAAAAACGATTTGTGGACTGGTAGTCCAAAGATCAAAAAGTATATAATATTAATTACAATTATTTTGGTTTATTCCAAAAAAATATGGTAGTAAATGTTATTAAGTTTTATATTAATCTTTTTCTATTTTCAGACATTTTTATTGGAGTAATTTGGCAGAAATATGACGATTTTTTGAAAATATCAAAATGAAGCCATCAATAACCTAATTTTCCGTATTATTTCAAGCTTCAAAAATCAAAAATCAACAAGCAAATTAATAAGAAGCACTTAACTCGCTGAGCTATTTAAAGAGAACTAATTAAACAATTTCTCATTTTAAATACCCGTTAATCACCTTAACGACATTCTGCAAGACAGCAGAGAACATAAGTGCATAGTATCCGAGACTTGGCAGACGCCCAATTAGAAGCATTAGTTCGATCCACGCCATCAGAATTGAAATGCTCGTGATGTGCAGCACCCAGTTGGGAGTATCTGAAACAGAAATAAAACTATTAGTAGTTGTTGTCGAGAGCACAGTGGATTTTCGGGGATAAGATTTACACTTGTGAATTTGAGTATTTAATGCCTTTCGGAACAGTGATTTATACATGTAATTAGGACTTTTAAGAAGAAAATTAAATTAACGTTTGTATTATATATTCAAAGAAATTTAAAGATAGAGATAACACTAGATAATTTAGAAATACCAACTATATTAGTCACATATGGCCCTAATGATGACGAACCATTGAAAGTTAAACAAGAATATTGGGAAGAGCTCAATGATGCTATAGAAAATGTGAGAGGTAGAAGAGTCATTCTAGACGATATGAATAGCACAGTTGGTAAAAGATACGATGATAACCTAGATATTTTGGGTATGTAGGATGAAGATACAAGAAATGATAATGAAAAAAGGATGATAGACTTTTGCATATAGAGTAATTTGATTATCACCAACACATTTTTGAACACAAAGATATACACAAGTTCACAAGAGAAGTCAGGAGCAGAAATGAAAAATCAATTCTAGATTATGTTCTTATTAATAGAGAATTTAGAAAAGAGGTCACTGATATCAGAGGTAAAAGGGGCTCGGAAATCTATAGTGACCACTATCTGGTAATGGCAAAGATAAGATTACCCCAAAACCCCCTAAAACCCCAAACAAAGAAGGAAAAATAATGAAATGAACGAGAATATCCAAAACTTACAGGAAACTTGAAAACAATTTACAGAAACCATCATGATGACAGCAAAAGAAACGTATGGAATAAACCATGTAAACAGAAATAAAAAGCAAACACGATGGTGGGACGATGAATTAAAACCCTTAATAAAATATAAAAAACAGAAATGGAAAATATACTTAAACGAGAAAACAGAAAATAGTCACGAAGAATATAAACGACAAAGAAAGGTAGTGAAAGAAATGGTGCTAAAGAAGAAGAAGGAAGCCTGAGATGAGTTTGGACCCCCGGCAGATAGCCGGGGTAACCAAAAATTGTTTTACAAGGCACTTAAGACGATAATAAAAGGTAAAGAAACAGCGATGAAACAGGTGAAACGTAAAGACGGCACACTGATTATCAGACCAAATGAGATTATGGAAAGATGGAGACAATACTTCAGCGAACTGCTAACACCAAGACAGCCGAAAGAGGAAACTGTAATGATAGAAATAGAAGGAGAACATGGAGAAGAAAATTATATTCAAATAGAAGAAGTTAGAGAAGCAATTAACAATATAAAGAGAGGTAAATCGGCTGTCATGACAAAATCACTGCAGAAATGTTAAAGACAATGGGACCAAAAGGAGTTGAAATTTTAGCCAAAATTATGAACATGGCTTGAAACCGATGTACAGTCCCCGAAGATTAGAGAATTGGCATAATACTACCAATCTTTAAGAAATAAGTACTTGTAAAAATTACAGAGGAATTATTCTACTGAGTATCGTCTCCAAAATATATGAAAGCATCCAAGAAAAGAAATTAAGACACATCATTATACCACATCTGGATGAAGTACAAAGTGGGTTTAGGAAGGGACACAGTACGCAAGGCCATATATTTACGTTGAAACAAATAATTGAGAAAGCTAAAATAAAAAACACAGAAATATATATGGCTTTTCTAGATATTGAGAAAGCATTTGACAGAGTGTCCAAGGAAGCAGTTTGAAAAAATCTGCAAAATAGAAATATTGACCATCAACTAAGCGGTGCTATCAAAAGTCTGTATCAAACTAACAAGAGTTATGTACGTAAGGATAACTTGGAATCAGAGATGTTTGCAATAAACAAGGGTCCAAGACAAGGAGGTGTTATGAGCCCCACACTATTCATATTGCTATTGACAACATAATTAAGAAAACAAAAGCAACAGAAGGTACATATCGGATATAGTAAATTACGACCGGTTGGTATAGCTGAGTGTGCATCCGCAAGTGATCTCATGTTATGCGCTTTCAATGAAAGGGACCTCCAGAAAAATATAGATAGCTAGAATAATGAGCTATCAATTAGAAACATGAAGATTAATGTTGAGAAAACAAGACTTTATTTATAACTATGATGAGTTTACTTTATTTTTAGCGCTTACTACACTGTTCCAATTGTGATGCCAATTTTTAAGCAATTTAAGGTGGTCCTGAAGATTTTCTGATGCTTCTAGTGGATGTTTGTCCAATTCTATTATCTCATGGTCAGTGAAGATTACCAATTAAGTTAAGTTGATTGGTGGGATATCATCTGTATAAATTAGAAACAACGATGGGTCTAGTATGTGCCTTGGGGTACATTTGTATACACCTGATGATCTATTTGATAGTCTATCTGATGGCATTATTGTTTCTCTATCGCTAAGTTGCTTTATGTCTTTCCTAACGTCTTTTGAAATAATTTTCATTTAGGTTTGCATTTTCCTTTTTTTAAATTAGGTTTTTAGTGTCTTCTGTGAGTTTTTTTTTGCCTTGTTCGCTTGGCTTGAAAGTTCTTCTGTGCCTTCTTTAAGGTGCTCTCCAATATTTCTTCCTAGTTTCTTTGCCCTCATTTTAACATTCGCAGTGTATGCGGCATTTATACCCGTTTCAGTTTCTAAGAGTAAATTAATATTATTTAATAACTATAATGTTGGTGTATTCCATCCCACTAATAACCACCTTCTATATTTGATGTGGAGTAAATGAAATGCGATTTAAAAAACAAATAAATTCTCTTTTAGTTTTTATATTATATATGTTCCGCAGTAGAAATCATTTTTTGAAAAACAATTAATTAGTCTTCATTCCACCAGTGCACTTCTCTTAGTCCAGGATTGTAATACAGGAGTAAAATGCTTCCTATTATCTATCGTTCAGAGTGCTGACAATTTCATTACGCCATGAGACTTGATTAAGGTAGACGGAAATATCCAACATAGCAAAAACTCTCAGTATTTATTTCAATAAACCGCCACTAACACAGGACTGGACTTCTTAACGAATATTATTACTGCTTTTATTATTAGAACTTACTACCTAAAAGCTCACATAGTATTGCAAAAAATGGTATTCTGGTATCTGACAACGCTTTTTTCTAAAGGTGCTTAAATAAAAAAGTAGGAAAGTAAATGGTTAAATAAAAAATTTTTTCTAAAGTTTTCAGTTTTTAAGATATGGGCTATTAAGAATTTTAAGAAACCCGAATGTTTACCGTTTCCGAATCTCATAAATAATGCAAAAATCTAATAATAATATTTTCAAAGTTCCCCAAAGTATGTTTCATGCATTTGCGACTGTTTTGCACAAAATGCATTTCGTATTTTGAAATAAAATTAAATGGAAATCAATCCTTTTATGTTCCTTTTTTTTTAAGTATTAATAGGAAGGTATTAAGAGTAATTTCTTTTGATATATTTTCACTTGCACCAAAAATTTTACGCGAAAATGTTTGTTTGCATAGCAGTTCTACCTTTTTTGCTCAAAACAGTCTAAGTTTCAACAGATTTTTGTAACATATTTTTATTTTATATTTATCTGCAAAATGTTTGTTACAATCGGATTAGATAATATCTAGAATTTAATGTAGTTCTAATCAATGAGCCCTATTAGATTAACATACGCGTAGATATGTATAAAATCCCTACTAGGGTTTTTAACCATTAGGAGGAAGCGATACTTTACTTTGGCTAATAAGTTTATCGTAGTAATAGTTTGTCATTGAAAAAAGTTTGTTAATGTCACACAGCTACTACTATTCTTTGCGGTCAGATCAATCTATGCATAAACGTTTGTGTGATGCATTTTGTATAAGTGAGATAAAGCTCAAGTCAATTCAAACAGGAATAGTGTAAATAGTAGAATAGAGGTCGGACAATATAAACTTAAACCACAAAATAAGACTAAAAATCTTTCTGATGGTTGTAAGCTTGAAATTCGGGAGATTTTATATAAAATGTGTGAAAAGGAATAACATATTAATGTAGAGTGGTAAAAAATTTAAAGGTTAAAATACATTTATAATTTTCAAAGTCTTTGGACAATTTTCAAACATATTAAGTTTAGGTTTAAAGTAAAAGAGAATATAAAAGCTTTGTGTAAAAGAGCTAGTTTTATTTGTTTATTTGGACGAAACTTTGATTTTTGGTAAAAGTGGAATAAAACGTGTTTGCCAGGACTAGAGTATAAAATTGACAAAATACATGCAGGTGAAACACATGGTTTTGTTGAGGGAGACCTTATGTTTTCGTCAAAATTAAAATCACCAAGATTACAAAAGTCCAACAGCGCCAAAAAAACATAACAATACATGGAGAACAAATTAAAACAGTTGAAAAATATAAATATCTAGGAAGCCTTCGAGTTATGGGCCTATAGAAAGATATTCGTATAAATACCTTGGAGCATGGATCACAGAAGATACTGATCAGACAAAAGAATTAAGATGCCGCATTGAAATTGCGCGGTCAACTTTTAATAGAATGAGAAAACTTTTTGGTAATCGCGATATCAATATATCGCTCCGGATAAGAATGCTTCGATGTTATATTTTCTCTACCCTTTTGTATGGATTTGAAGTTTGGACACTTCACACTCAAAAATCCAACATTAAAAACCTAGAAGCATTCGAAATGTGGTGATACCCACGTATTTTGAAAATATCATGGATGTTTTCAAATGCAAGGAAAAATACAGGGTAGAAGGAGTCGCGGAAGACGACACATCTCCTGGTTGAATAATTTGAGAGCTTGGTTTAACTGCACTTCTGCTGACCTCTTTAGAGAAGTGGCGTCGAAAGTGCGAATTGCCATGATGGTTGTCAACCTTCTTAGAGGAGATGGCACGTGAAGAAGAAGAAGAAGAGAATTACCTCTTTATCACGTTAACATGAATACAAAGATGTTAGTAATTTACATAAACCATCTGTTATAGATTTGGATAATGCTCCATATTATTTTCATCTTATCTGTTGTCGAAGTCTCGAGCACTGTATTTTTTTAACCAATATATCGTTTAAATTAAGTTGGTTTAGTGTTAATACATTTGCTGGATATTTAACCTAAATATTCTTAACATGCGGCGGTACACCCATATATCAAAAGCCTCAATTATATTTTGTCTACTTGTTTAAGCGTTCATGTTTCTGATACATATATGGGCATGGAAAAAAAACTTACACAGTTTAAATTCAGGCAAAACTCTCCTGTTATCCAAATAATATCCAGAACGATTTTAACCAATTCTCTTCAGAGCCCTGCTCAGTGTTTCCACCGGTATTCAAGTTTTTTCAGTGCTCATGGTTACTTTATTTTTCATTTTACTGACGTTATCACAACAAGTACCAGCGTACACATTTTTTAAGTATACCCACTCCCTACCCAGTTTGTTTAGCGTTTTTGCATAAACATCTAAGTAGTGTATCATTATTATAAGCCAGCCAGACCGGCTGGCTTATGAAGGCTTAACACAAGATTTGTCAAGTCTAGAGAAGTAAACGCCTTATTTAATTACCTAATTTACTTCAGAATTTACCAAAAATGAGTTTACATATTTTATATAACATGCTTAAAATTTAAATTTCTTACCGAGGACATAAAAAAACTAGGAAAACAAAATTGGATTATTTCTAATAAATCAGTTAATTTAATTGTTTATGTTAAAAAAAATTTCGCAGTGTTAAGGGAAACGTAGGCATATCTGTAGGTAATGAATTGCCATACCTTTTTAAACAAAAACTTCTATTTCGGAAATAACTTGGAGTACTGCCTTTCAATACAAACAAACTTAAAAATGCAACAATACCAGTTGATGTTGAAGAAGTTTTTCGATTTATAAACATGTCGTATAAAAATATAAAAAGCATGATATTAAAATTACTAAGTTTGGAAAAGAATTTATTGGCAATGTTTTTTATTTTAATAACATTACTTCGTGAAATTGTCTACCTGCTATACATGGTTGCTGCATTTTTTAAAATATTTTATTTTGTATATACTCAAATACCCAAATGTCAATATTGTGTTTTAATATTTATCATCATTATCCAGCCCTTAGCCTTAACTGCTGGACATAGGCCTTCCTCATTTTTGTCCGTTTTGCTCTATCTTGAGCACTTTTCATCAAATTTCTTAACATTTTCTTGAGATCGTCAGTCCAACGAGTAGGGGGCCTTCCTCTACTTCTATTATCTAAGCTCGGCCTCCACTAAAGCAGTCTCTTCGTCCACCTTTCATTACTAATTCTAGCAACGTGTCCGACCCAGTTTCAGTGTGGCAATTCGGGGAATTACATCGGTAACTCCTGTTCTTCGCCTTAAGTCTTCATTTTAAACTCGGTCACGCATCGATATACTTAGCATTGACCTTTTAAATTTCGTCTGAGCTATTTGCAGCGTCATAGAAATTGTAGCTGTCAATGTCAAAGTTTCGGCACCATAAGTCATCACAGGCAGCACACATTGGTCAAATGTTTTACGTTTTAAAAAAAATACTGCTGTTTCTTTTTAGATAAGTATATTATAATATAAAAATCATCTTATGGGGAAGATAAGTTAAACATAAGTTAAACAAAAATATCAAAAATATGGGTCTCTATTCTGTCAGTAAAATGCCGAAAATATTCCACAAAAATTCCCTCTCCCAATTTACATAAAATTCTATTACCACATCCACACAAACCGCAAGCGTTTTTGTTAGAATCATGTCTCCTCTTTCTACATATTTAGTTTTCGTGTAGAGAGTTAGTCCGGAACTGCTGTACTTACCGGTTTTTCCTGCATTTCCGGAATAGTCGTCCAGTGTTATGGCTACTGTTAATGAGAGACAGGTACAAATTAAATTCATCCACATTTCGTAGCGCTGGAAATATTTTCGCCGGTCGAGGATGCACTGAAACGAAATTATGTTATTTATTTAAAACAAAAACTAATCTAGTGTGTCTTCATTATACAAGTTTTGATGTGGTACGGAAAATAATACATTATGTTAGAAAAAACAACTGTGTGTGTTTATATTTTACGTTGTAATGGAGGTAAAATAATAAAGTAAATTATACCAAACAAATTTGATTAACAAATTTTTTATTAACAAAATAATTTTAATATGCAAGCACCTGTGTAACTGGAAAAGCGTTACGGAATATTTTCGTATGTATTGTAAATTAATAGACGGTCGGTGGATATAAACAATAATTTTTATGGATATTTATAAATTACCAGCAATATTATTTTACAGTAGTTTATTAAAAAGTTTTGTAAAATATATTTCATTAATATTTAACACTAGAAGCACCAGAGCGGTCATTTTAACTGCTTTTCATTTTTGACACTCTGTATTACCTATTCATAAATGTTTTAGAAAGTTGATAACCTATGACTTTTCCTAGATCTGTTTGAAGATTATAATTTTTTGTATATATTGTATATATTTATTGTATATACTGTTTATATCAACAACAATACAATATACACTTTGTCATTTGCAGACGACCAACTTGTACTAGCGCAAGACTACGATGATATAGAATATATGACAAGGAAATTAATAGAGGAGTACAAAAAAGGTGGTTGGGAAATAAACATAAAAAAGACCGAATATATGTGTATCGGTGGGACACAGCAGGACCTTACACTGGGGAATGGCGAAATTATTAAACATTGCGACGCATATAAATACCTGGGTATGACCATCACACAAGAAGAAAACGTAGACCGCACGATAGAAGAAAGAAACAACCAGGGAAGAAAAGCAATTACCCTTCTCAATAGCATACTGTGGGACCAGGCAATATCAAACAACAACAAACATAGAATATACAATACAATTGTTAAGAGTATAATCACTTACAGCAGTGAAGTATGGCAAATAAAAGAAAGATACAAGAGAAAACTTGAGGCAACAGAAATGGATTTCTGGGGGCGCTCAGCAGGAAAATCAAGAGTAGAAAGGGTAACCAACAACAGAATTAGGGAAATAATGAATGTGAAACACACAATAGTAGATGACATTAGTACCAAACAGCTTAGATGGTATAGACACGTACAAAGAATGTCCGAAGAACGACTCCCGAAACAAATCCTAACGTGGACCCCTCATGGTAGACGAAAAAGAGGAAGACCCCGCCTTAGTTGGAGAGAAGGCATAAATCGAAGTATGAGAGAAAGAGAATTAGATGAAGACCTTTGGATGGACCGAAGTGAATGGCGACTAGGCATCGGAAGACGTAGGAGAACGTTTTATATATATATATATATATATATATATATATATATATATATATATATATATATATACATATATATATATATATTTATATATATATATATATATATATACATATATATAATATATATATATATATATATATATATATATGTATATATATATATATATATATACATATATATATATATATATATATATATATATACATATATATATATATATATATATATATATATATATATATATATATATATATATATATATATATATATATATATATATAGTCAGGAAGTACCTTACCAAAATTGAAAAAATTTCTCCTTTATGCTCTTTCCATACTGAAGAGACCAAAGTACGTTCAAAATTAAACCCTTGTTGTTTTAAATTTCTTCTTTATTTCTCCAAATGCCTTATGTGCTGAATTTGTATTCTAAGAGCAGAACACAATCTGTTTGCCAGAATTGGCTTGTGTAGCCAAAAGATATATGCCGTTGGTTGGAAGTTCGGTGACATCAGAGAGTCTGGTGTCATCAATAAACGATATTGTGTCTTATCCGAACAACTTATTTATAAAAGAGTTTTCCTCAATAGGCTTTTTGGACTTTTTTTTCTTTGCTTCTAAATTTTCTTGTAATGTAGAATTTATTATGGCTTCACCTGGTTGTAAAATTTGCTATTAAAATTATATTGCTATCGATATATTCTTTCAAAAGTATCTTCATCGATTATATTATTGATATCAATTCGAATAGAGAATCGCAAACTAAAGTGCAATATAAATGTAACATTGTAACCTATTTGGCTGGTATTTGACTATTGGCTATTGATTAAAAAAAAGCAAACACCGGTTTTTGGAATACACAGTTTTTATGACCGGTTATAACCGTCAGGTTAAACCGTAAGTAAATAAAGGTATAGCCGAAAACCGATGTTTTATCAACAACCGCCATACCTACTAAGTTATATCTTTCACAGTAATTTGAGCGTTTTTTTTTTAATATTGTCACAGGGTCTTGACTTTGACACTTTTACTTTGTTTATTACTTCTGATGTTATTTATCCTTGTTTAAAAACTGTAATTTAAAATTGTGTGTAAAATTTATAGACATAAAACGAATTTTAAAATTCTAATTACAATTCTGCCAATAATTTCCAACGTATGGACTATAATTCATAGTTGTTTTAAGGCATGAAGCGTTTCCATCAAAACTCAAACATTATTTCCTGTTTTAAAACCCCACTTTAATCTTTTACGAAGCTATGAATAATAAAGTGAGTTTATTTTCCTCTATACCAGTTATCTGCATCGGAAGTGGTAATTGGAAATAACATTTTTTCCACAAAAATCAATACCTCGCAAACAATAGCGATTGTCAATAATAGCAACATAAACAGGACGTGTGCGGGGGTAAGCATCCATTACGATTGAGGGCCATAAATTTAGGTGAATGATAATGTGCTGCTATAATTTAGAACCATTTACAGAGTGCCTAAAGGACCAATTTACAGGGCCTGTTATGTTGGATTGATTAAAACCGTTGATAGGATCGATTGTCGTTTTCCTTAATATATAATCTACTGTAATGATGTTAAGGAAGTTTTTTTTACTCTCGTTAACCACATATAAAAAATGACTAATGAAGTGTATTGTAGATTAAAGTGATCGAATTTATAATTAAAAAATCCGACATTTTCTTTATACGAAATTATTTTAGAATCAAAACATACGTGGAACAAACATTAGCAAGATGAAAAATAAGGTATCATAAATAAAAAGAAAAGGTTTATATATTGATCGATATACAAGTTCCAAAGAGTAATAGGTCTAAATAGTACTTTCGAGTTAAGTATTGGGAAGTGCTTCAATACCCAGTATTTACGAGTTCCAAAGGATAATAACTCTATAATAACGTTCTTTAAAGATGTCATACATATTTTTTGTCATAAAATGATACTTATTTTAATTCCAAACTGTAACAATTCGAGTTGTTTCATTTGGTAACTGATTTGTTTTCCTAAGCGATATATTTTTTCAGTTCCAAACCGTAACATTTCTAAATTTTACACGTCAAAATTGGCAACATTGCTTAGACTTGGTTGACTTTCCGAGCTTGACATAGCAAATTACAGTACCGTTGATGGCATATGATTTTACATATTCGACAAAGAGTTCTTTCAAAGTTGTTTGCATAATTTTGAGTATTTTAAACAGTTTAAATCAAACGGATCAAAAACTTGAGTTTTTAACAAGATCTGAGTGTATTTTACAGTTAGCTTGCCAAACTGAAATGGATTCTACAAATGAAACAAGGTTACGAAGGTAAATTCATTTAGAGAATAGTTATATTTCAATGTTAATCTAAAAAAGAGGTGAACAGTCAAGTACAACATTTAAAGATACTTAACCTAATCATTTATTTATTTAGAATCAAAATGTATTACACGAAAGTGATGCAAAAAATAAAAGAAAAAGCTGTTTTATAAACATTGACTATTAAGTTAACCAGAATGTTTCCGTCTGAATCTGAGATTTTTCTCAAGGATCTCATGAAATTTTCATTCCAGAATCCTCTGATACATCATAATGACATGATGCCAAATACCACTAAGTGACAAAAGTTACCTGTTCCTACGGCTAGCATAAGAGATGCAGCAGCTTCTGGCGTAAATATTGAACCAGCACCTGATAATAGTAGTAGCAGTACTTCTCTACTATAAAAAGCTCTAAAAAGTGACTTTGCCAGCCTTTAAAGTAGACTAAGAATATATAAACAAAAAATATGTGCGCAATTCTGGGCAAGCTTTCACAAATTCTGCTGAAAAAGAGATTCTAGCCCGCAAAGTGCAAGGATATTGCACTGAGAAATGAAGACTAAAATGTTCGACGAAGAAAGGCAACCGATTCACACAAGTCCTTTAGGAAAAGAGACCTAAAGAGGCCAAAATACGTATAAGCGGCTTGCCGCGCTGCTATGTATCGAAACAAAAATCTAGTACCGTTAATATGTTTTATTTCTTTACTCCGTTTGGAGTACCAGAAATTGAATTCACTATGAATTTTGACCATGATGAACGGCATGTGAAATGCAATTTTAGATTCTTTTGCCGAGTAATTTATGAAGCTGTTTGCTTTGCAAGTTTTAGAAAGCACAGTGTTAAAATTTAAATTCGATTTCGCCAGGTAGAAATCGTATGATTTGTTTTTTTTTGCTTTTTGAAATTATATTTCTATACGCGCGCTTAACGTTGGAAATTTGTACGGGTGTGAATGGGTGAAATCAGTACATATGTAAGATATGAGTAAAAGAGAGACAGAAGATATATTTAGACTTTCTTTCTCTCTCGATAATAAAAATGTTTCTTTTGTATATATCGCTGTTGGGCGTAAAAAAGGGGGCAAGTCAATGTTTGATGAAAACGGGATTAACTCAAATATAAGTTAAAAAAATACGTTTTAATGCTGTGTAAAAGGGAACTAGTCAATGTAGCTGAATTTGTATGTAAAGTTGATTGTTCCAGAAGAGGCACTTACAAAATAGTACATAAAGTTTAGTGTAAAAAGGGATATATTAACATATTTCTTTTGGCACTGCCCATATCAGTATTTCTCTTAGTGAATAATGAGACAATTTGACTTGTCCCTTTATTCACGGTTAGCTTTTAAT